CTCTCAAATTGGTTATAACAGCCAAAGCCAGGCTGGTCTGCAGCTGGGAGCCAGGAGTTTCTTCTAGGTCTCCCACAAGAGTGCAGGACCCCAAGGTCTTGGGTCACCTTCCATTGCTTTCTCAGGCAGGATCAGAAGTGGAAAAGCCAGAACATGAATCAGTGCCCACATGCTGACACCATAGGTGGAGGGTTAGTATACTATACTATCCTGCCGGCCCCACAATGGATACTTGTACTGACATTGTAATGGTGAGAACAGGATCTGGGATGGGACGCACTCTCCAAGTCCTACTTCCAAATGCCACTTTGTTGATTTACACGATCCCCGGCTGTGGTGCTCCCAGCTTGCTGACTCTGTGGTTTTTCACTGGATCCATTTCCTAGTTATTAATGGAAGGGGATCCCAAGGAAACTCTCTGGGTTCTGGCTTGGCCATAGGATCCCGCCGACCACCACTAAAGGACTCCAACTTCCTGTCCTGCCTTCAACCTCTTTGGATGCAATTGCCATCTGGCCCTTGGTCATCCCAAGCTTATAGTAGAGCAAATGAAATGGTTAATATCACTTGCTGGCCCTGTTTGGCTGGACCTGGCCCTGGAATGACCCTTTCCATTTCCTGGAATGTTAATTTCTTGAGAAGGTGCAGGTTCTCTTAGGTTCATCAGAGGCCTCTTTTACAGTGGGGGCTCCATCCGTAACAACCTCTTTCTTCCTGTCTCATGGATCCACTGTCTTGCAGCTGCCCAAGACTAGGCTGCTTGTCCATAAGTCCCGTCAATATACAGGATTTGTCTGCCTCTTTCTTTGATCTCTTGGCACTTTCCATCCAGGTCACTGCGTTTTCCTGAGACAATCATCCAGAGCTGAAGGCTCCACAATCTCCATGCTCTGGCTCCGACCCCATTCTCCAATGCCAGACTTAAATAGCAGTTACCAGACAATTCCTCTTGCTTCTCCCACAGGCCCTTCAAATTCAGCAAGCCCCAAACTTGCCTTCCCCACAAATCTCAGCAGCTTCCTTGTCATGCCTTGATTGGGGAGTTGTTTGTCCTTCTTTCTTCCACGCCCATGCTTGTGATCCTGGCGGTCCAGGGTTTTCTCTTTCACTCATTGTCCTTAAATTTCCTTCACTGATGCTCTAACTCAAATCTTCCTAATTTACTTCAACCCTTGCTATGGTTTCTTAACTGATCTATCTCAGTTCATTCTCCCCAGAACCCGTAGAGTCAACTGTTTGAAGCATAAATTCGAAAAATCTGCTACTTTGCTTACAAGCATTCATGGGCACCATGAAGGACTGAAATCCAGATTCCTGGGCACAGTGTTTGGTATTGGAAGCTCTTCCCAGTCTTCCAATACTATACAATGTGACCTTTTCTTCTAGCATGATCAATTCTAAACATTTTACTTAATTTTTTAAGTAACCAAATGCACTTATCAGGTTGTGAGTTGACAGTTCTAGCCCAAAAAATGAGCCGGAGGCAGACTCTTAGAAGCTCAGGAGTCTTTATTCACCAGCTGGTGGACTGAGCCATTCCAACATACATGGAAGAGGGGAACAGCCCTGATCACGGGTGTTCAGGAGTCCTTAAGCAATCATCACCCAATCAACTAGGACAGCACTAGCACATGATGTAATCACTGTAATCATCACTGCACAATATAAATGTTCCTATCAACTGTTGTGGGGAGGAACACAGATACCGATCCGTTTAAGCATCACATACTCCAAACTATCCAATCCAATCAGGAAGAGTCTCATCCCACCTAGTCGTGAACAACAGAACCAGGCACACATGTCCCTCCAATTCTATTTACAGAAAACAGTTTGGGGCAACCAGCTTACTGCCTCAGCTGTGAAAGAAAAGCAAGATCTTGGGCCTGGTGGCCTAGCGGCTAAAAGTCCTTGCCTTGAACGTGCTGGGATCCCATATGGGCGCTGGTTCTAATCCCGGCGGCTCCACTTCCCATCCAGCTCCCTGCTTGTGGCCTGGGAAAGCAGTCAAGGATGGCAAAATGCCTTGGGTCCCTGGACCCGCATGGGAGACCCTGAAGAAGCTCCTGGCACCTGGCTTTGGTTCGTCTCAGCTCCGGCCATTGTGGCCACTTGGGGAGTGAATCAGTGATTGGAAGATCTTCCTCTCTGTCTCTCCTCCTCTCTGTATATCTGACTTTGCAATAAAAAGAAATAAATCTTAAAAAAAAAAAGAAAGAAAAGCAAGATCTCATGTTGGAATGAGATACCGTCTTGTGATAAGCACTCTCACGTCCTTTTTGGGACTTTCCAAGAACCCAAGGTTATGGCAAAGGTCAGGTTATAGACATGTCCCAGCAGTGTTTGAGAAGACCTAGCCTTACTGTTGCCATTCTCTATCATCTGGGCTGTCATAATCTGACTGAAAATTCAGAAGTCACAAAAAGGTATTAAGTGAACCCTACCGCCTACTCTTTTCTTCTGGCTGACCAATCTCATTTCTCAGCACCATTCAATGTTATCAGTTTCTTGTGTGGACATCTAGGGATACAAAGATACACATGGCTCCCTTCCTGTACACACCATGTCATGTCCTATAGATGGTGACGCATCTTCTCACCTAACCATGTGCAGTCCCTAGATCATTCCTTGAGAGTATGACAGAGTATCACTGTTGACAGTGAATCCATTTTTCAATTGGGGATACATCATGATTTGACCTGTGAATATTAAGTTGTTTCTATTTTTTTTATTATTATTTAAGAATTTTTTATTGGAAAGAAGATCAGATTTACAGAGAAAGAGAGACAGAAAGATCTTCTGTCCACTGTTTCAATCCCCAAGTAGATGCAATGGCCAGAGCTGAACTGATCTGAAGCCAGGAGCTTCTTCCAGGTCTCCTTCATGGGTGTAGGGTCCTAAGACCTTAGGTCATTCTTCACTGGTTCCCCAGGCTCCAAGCAGGGAGTTACATGGGAATTGGCACAGATGGGACATTAACTGGTACCCATATGAGAGCCTGGCACTTGTAGATGAGGATTTTGCCATTCAGCCATCATGCCAGGCCCCAAATATATGCATCTTAAAAACAACAGCAACGAGCATGGGACACCAACATTGCAAGCAGAGGCTTACTCCTCTTTCCCATGGTGCTGGCTCCCATACATGGTTCTAATCTCTTGTGAAAACAAAAATTACTGCAATGGCTTTAATTTTACAAAATTGTCATTTCACATGTGTGTAAGTATAAGAACAGAATGAAGTTTTAGAAGTGGAACTGCCAGAACAAGATACAGGTGCACTTGTAAGTTAGACTGCGTCCTATTTCCCATCAGTAGTGTAATATTTCCCTCTGTATTGTTAGCCATTCTTATAGGACTCAGAACAGATACCCAGAGCATCTTACCAAGTTAACTCAAAGTCATAGCTCTGTTAGCAGAGCTTCCCTTTCCCCTCTCTCTTTGGACGCTTCGTTTTAGTAGGTAATTTCCTTCCCAGCCAGGGCTCAGTCCAACAAATGATTCATCCCAGTGCCATTGTTATTTCAGAGCCAAATTTTTATTCCTACCTGATTAATTTCCCTATTTGCTTAACTGATCAGGGTCCTCCTTCCTTAGCTTCACTGTAAAATAAGGTCACATTAATTTTTATGCTCTAATTACAATGACTTTGAAACATCATCCCCTATTTTGTGAGATCTCAGTTCTTCTTCTTAGGTCCCTCTTCCCCCATATAGGGAAATCTCTAGACCTCACACAGTCCATAAATTCTTTCAGGTGGGGTTGCCTGATGCTTTTGTGGGTTATCAGACTGCTCTGCCATTCCTGGATCCATTGCTTATTAGCCGTACCATCTCTCCAGGCCAGTTTCTTCATCTACACATCAGGAAGCACTAGGAGGCTGTGAAGACTGATGGAAGGCCCTGGGGAGTGTTAGGCACACAGCGCTGTTGGGGGTGGGAGCAGGCAACAGTCCTCCGGCTCTTTCATGCTTCTGCTGATCTCTTCCCGTGTGCCAAGAACGCGAGTTCTTGAATGTTTTTTTCCCGTGGTCACTGTACAGCAATCAGTTCGGTGAGGAATGGGTTGGCTTCCTGCTTCCTGGAAAGTCGCAGGTTCCCCAAGCTCAGGGCTTCTCCTTGTCCCCAAGATCCACCCAGCGCACAGCATCCACCCTTGAATTCTCCCCTCCATTTTTGCAGGATGTGGCCTCGTTCAGAGGGACTGACACCAAAGTGGAAGCTCATTCTACCTACGAGCCCTAACATGCCCTGGTCTCTGACCCAGAAATCTTGCATTTTCTAAGCAGTAAGAGTCTTATCATCCTGTTGGCAAGATGAAGCACTGGGTTTGAGCAGTCATTGCTCTGGCAGAGAGCCAATAAATACCAATTGTTCCCATTTGCAAAGAATTTCATTGTGCTGTTGGGGGTAATCTTGAAATCACGGTTGCACTGTTACTTCCCAGTCTAGCATCCAGTGCCAAATCATGAAGATTGCAGTTGACGCTCTGCATATGCTTTTCCAATGGCTGGGACATAGCTTTCCGGTAGTTGAAAAAGAAAAGTTGTGCAAAAAATAACTGGGCCTTAGTTCCTGTTGCTTAACAGCTAATGACTTCAGGCACTCTGAGGGTTCAGTTTCCTATTATGTGAAACGGGGCAACGAATTGCTGATCCAGTTGTCTTGCAACGTTGTTGGCGCTGCCCAATAAAGTTGTATATGAGTTCCTAGGCCAATGACTTAATATAACTTAAGACTGTGTCAAATCACAAACATCAATTTACGAGATGGAAGGTAAAACATAAACGTGCCTCTTGGAAGCAGCTGAATCATCTTGCCATGCTCGGTACTGGACCAGTGGGCTCGCCCACCCAGCAGATGAGAGACACTAACATGCCTCAGAAGTAAACTACAACTCCCAGCAGGCTGCGCTCCCGTATGCGTCACACCCCGAGCCCAGCCTCCGCCCCGCCCCCTCAAACTACAACTCCCAGGAGGCCCCGCGGTGCCCTAGCGTCCGCTTCCCCCCGCCGGCGGCTCCGTGGCCGACTCGGTCCCCGGCTGGCGGAGCGGGCGCGCGCGTCGGGGGTCGCGCGGTGCCGAGTAGGACGAGCGCGCGCCGGGAGGGAGTGGAGGCGTCGGGGGGCGGGGGTACGGCTCGCTGGCTCGCAAGATGGCGGACGAGGACGGGGAAGGGATTCACCCCTCAGCCCCTCACAGGAACGGAGGCGGCGGCGGCGGTGGGGGGTCTGGGCTCCACTGCACCGGGAACGGCGGCGGGGGCGGCGGCGGCCCGCGGGTGGTGCGCATCGTCAAGTCCGAGTCCGGCTACGGCTTCAACGTGCGGGGCCAAGTGAGCGAGGGCGGGCAACTGCGGAGCATCAACGGCGAGCTGTACGCGCCGCTGCAGCATGTGAGCGCCGTGCTGCCCGGGGGAGCGGCCGATCGGGCCGGGGTGCGCAAGGGAGACCGCATCCTGGAGGTGTGAGTATCGGGGTCGCGCGCCGCCCCACCCTCGCCGGCCCCTCCGCCTGTCCCTGTCACCCCCTCAGGCCGCACCTCCCCCAACTCCCTAACCAGCCCCCGCCTGGAGACCCTCGCCCCCTTCTGGCCTCCGCTGCCTGGTACCTCCTGGTGGGTGGACCCCCTCCTCCGCCCCCGGGTTTCTGGGACTCCCACCCTCTCCCCTTCCCGTGGGCTCCAGTTGTTCTGTCGTGGCGCCCCCGGCGCCTCTACCCCTGCCTACTTCCCTTTGGCTCGCTTCTGTCCGCCGCCTTCCCCTTTGGCACGCCGCTTGCTGCTCCTCACTTCGCTCTCGGCTTCCTCGTGGCGAACCTCTGCTTCCCGACCCAGCCAGTACCGTGTGTCCTCCCCCAAGTTCCCCCTGAGCATCGCAGTTTCTTGGCCACCACCGCTCCCCTGCGCCCTTGTGTGGACTGTCCCTGCCCGCTTGGAGCAGGACCCCTGGGCTGCTGCTACTTGGAACTCCGGAAACATCGTCGATCCCCACGCCACTCCTTTTTCATTCCTTCTTTACCCTCGGCTTATGGTTAAGCGCCCCCCTCCTCCTCCCCTTGTATTTTTCCACCCTATCTTTTCCTGCTTTCCTCCTCTCCTTTTCGTAGTCTACCCCCAGAGGGGCCCTGGCATGCCTTAGGGGGAGGGAGGAGGTTGACGCTGCGCGGTAGTTCCGACCCTGCCCCCCGATTTTGGATCGCGTGGCCCTGGGAGCACCTCCCTACGTGAGCATCCTCGCTTCGGCCTCCCACCCCCTTCGCTCTTGCACCACACTCCCGATTTTCACTCGGGGCTGTGGGGGCGGCGCTCGAAGCTTCTACTTGCTCCTAACTGCAACCCCTTTTTGGGTCTTTGACCTTTCCACTTTTTTTTTTTTCAAGAACATGCCCGTCTCCATTTTCTCTCCCACTCTGGGCTCTTGTGAAATCGCACTTGACTGTCCTGTTCTGTGCTTTGCGTGTCTTACCCCTCCTCTTTCGCAGGCCCCTGCTGCTGCAGCCCACCGCTCCCCCTGCCTGCTGCAGTCCCTCCCCCCTTCCTACTCCTCCATCCTGACTTCCTCTCCGCATCCCTCCCAGCCCGTCAGGATGTTGCCTTGTCTTGCAGTTTTCTGTGCACGCCTCCTCCGCTCCCTAATTTCTGCGTTACATTTGCATTTTTGTACTTTGTATTAAAATTCGTATAGTGATTGCTGGTTGGCTTGTGGGTAGCTTCTGCGCTCATTGTTCCACTCTCCCCAGCAGAATTTAATTCCGTGTTTCTCTGACTGAACATATTTTGTATATTATCCCCCCACCCCCACTTTCACCTTCTTTCCCTTCAAGTGCGGATTTGCCCATAGGGAGCTTTTCACATTTGTTATGCTTTATTTCTATTGTGGTTTCTACAACCTCCAGGCTCTCTTGTTGTAAAACAATAGGTTTGCCCGAAGTTTGCAGAGCAGATAGTATCTTGAAAGTCAGGCTCCCTGAAGGAGGCCGTCCTCTCTTGTTTATCTTGTGCCCTTGACATTCTTACTCTATTGTAACTCCACCTCCAGAAAGGAGCAACTGTCCCTCTGTAAATAGATGCTTGTATGCTCATTCATGTCCAACATACAGTTTTCTAGTATTCTCTGGAACACATTCCTAATTGGGGCAGGGAAGCCAGGGTACTCAGATTTGGACTGCAGTAATGACCTTCTGATGTCTTGTGCCTGGGCGTCTGGTTGTTCTTTCTCTGGGGTCTCCTTCTTATAAAAACCTTTCCAGTTGTCATTCTCTTTGTCTTTCAAAGTTAACTGTGGATACAGCTGTTTACTTTTGAAATATGTGACTAAAGTATTGAAAACTATGTATTTGTCGTCAAGTTCTAAATTGTTTGCTCTTTAAGGACCTTAAGGAGCTAAACTAATTCTCTGTTAGAATACAGCTAATGTGAACTGCCATGTTCATGCAACAACCCTTTCTTGTGCTCTCTGCAATTGGGGCCGCGGGTGAGGCAGTCTTCCAAGAGTGTCCCAGGACAGACCCGAGGACCTGCCCCAGGTCCAGCTTCCTGCTGGGAGCCCAGGAAGTTGTTTCCTTTTAAAGGAAAGATGTTGGGTTTTGGCATATCCTTAGTGGCAAGTAGAGACTTTTCTCTTAAGTGGGCTGGGTATACAATTATGCCAGCCTAAAGACCTCTCTAGAAGGTTGTGAGGATCAGAAGTCTTCCTGGCATTGATTTCTCATCCTTCCAGCTGTAGAGTTGTTGATTTCTGATGGTGAAACTTCTGTGGTAGTCTAATGAAGTAGTGATAGTTGCAGTATAAAGCTGAACGAGTTGGTAAATTCTGAGACCTCAACTAGATAGTTTCTTTATCCTTCCTTTAAAATTTTTTTTCTATTTATTTATTTTACAAAATCTTTATCTACTGCCTAGGTTTTCCAGTAAGAGGAGGACATACAGATGTATATGATTCTTGAGGAGCTATCCATGTGTTTGCTACTTACTTTAATCTAAGCTAGGTTGGTGCTAATTTTCCTAGTGTTGTTTAGATAACATTCTTTAGAACTCTTTTTTGTCCCTGACCCAGGTTCTAACATCCACTGGTTCATTTCTCAAATGACTGCAGTGGCTGGTGTTGTGCCAGTTCGAGGCCAGGAGCCTGGAATTTCTTCCAGGTCTCTTACATGGATGCCAAGCTTGGGCCATCTTACACTGCTTTCTCTCCCTAGTGTATTAGTAGGGAAAAAGTAAGCTGGGTTTTGTACCAGAGCCCATGTGGGATGCCAGCATTGTAGGTGGCAGTTTAACTTGCAGTGCCATTGGCGCCTGACCCAGGTACTTTAAGTTCAAATATCACCCCACCCACCCCTGTCCTAATGGGAAAACTTTGCATATTGATGCCAAGTGGGATCAAAGCTGGGGACACGTTGATTATCCTTGTGTAGATGCCACTTAAATCATAGGAGGACGTCTGGGTGCTGTTTAAGACTTTTCCTCTTCTAGACTCTCATACACATACTGTATTACAGTTTTCATGTATTAGTTGTATTAAAGAGTAGAGTAACTGTGTGAAAAAATAACTTTGAGATTTAATGGGATACCAAGTTGATCTGGTGTAAGAATATCAGTTTAAAATCTGCTTATTAAGGCTCTGTGCTCATTGAAACTTAGAATAATGGTTTAACTATGGGGTCAGTATGGTTCAGTCTGTCATTTCTCCTTTTGGAACTGACTAGATTCTTACTGGTTTGGGAAAGAGTCGTGTTGCGAGGCTTGGTGTTGCAGTAGGAACAAGCCCTCTGGGCTGTACATTTTACTGATGATGGGAGCTTTTCTGGCCTGCAGTGTTAGGCTCCACCTGGTGATTGTTCCTAGTGTAACACACACTGTCTTCCCTGTTTGCATGTTCCTGGGAGCTAGTGAGTGAAGCGTGCCTTCAGCAGATAAAGAACCAAAACATGCTGATCAGGGAGTGTATGCTTTCCTCCTTTTAAAAAATGTTTAACTATTTATTTGAAAGGCAGAGTTACAGATTAAGGAAGCAACAAAGGGAGAGGAAAAAGATCGAGATTTTTCCATCCATTAGTACACTCCCTAAATGTACACAAGAACACAGATCTGGCCCAGGCCAAAGCCAGAAGCTAGGAGCTCCATCTGGGTCTCCCATGAGGGTGGCAGGGGTCCGAATGCTTGGGCCATCTTTGCGGCATTCGCAGGCTTTAGCAGGGTGCAGCCAGGACTCCAGTGCGGGAGACTCTGGAGGTCCCTGGATTTCCTCCCCCCCCCCCCCCCCCAGCTACCAGATAACACACCCGTTAACATTCTCATGTTGGGGTGAAGTCTTAAGACAAATCACATCACTATATCCATTTGTTTATTGAAAATCAGTTTTCTGAAAGTTCATCTTGTGTGAAAGTTAGAAAATTATTAGATAAAAAGAGGTTAGTGCAGCGAGAAATATTCTTACAGATTGTGTGAGTCATACAACGTTGACTGCTTCAACAGCTTCTCAAAAGCTGCTTTCTGAATTGTAGCTGAATCCTATTGGGCTCAGATTTTCCACATTGGTTTTGGTAGCGGTGTTTGCAACCGTGTTTATTGATCCAAGTAACTTTTTCTGGCTGTGGTTCTCAAGCTTTAGTGTACATGAAGAATCAGTGGGTTTACTTGTTAAAAGTATAGATTCTCAGGCTTCCATTTTAGGGGTTATTATTCAGTAGATCTAATATGGGCATGGATATCTTGGCAGGGCTGGGTCGTCGCCTCACATACCTCACCATGTGACCAGAGCTACACTGCAGGTTGTATGTTTTGGATTCTCAATTCAGTCTGTCTTCATGGCTGTTTTGAGCTAAGACTGTACTAACAAATGGTGATTTGTCAGGCTCCTGCGCTCCATCCCAAGTGAGAAAATCAGTGAAGTACTCTGACCATATATATGATTGATTGTCTCTTGCTAAATTTGTGCAATAAGGATGGGTGGTTGGGAGCCACTGGTTGATAGTCATCATAACCATTGTACCACTTTGCAGTGTGAATAGTGTATCGCAGCTGGCAGCATGTTTGCATTTGTTGTCCAGTGAAAGGAATTGCTAAGTTCTTTGAAGGCAGGAACTACCTCCGATTCTAGGTACTAGTTGCATCCCCTCCAATGTCTGCTGGCCTGCAGGAGGAACTTTTCAGTCAATACTTGCTGAAGTGCCAGTGTTGGGGTGCAGCTGGTTAAGCCACCAGTTTGGATACCAGCATCCCATATGAGTGTGGGTTTGAGTCTCAGCTGGCCTGCTTTGATCCAGCTCCTTGCGAATGCACCTGGGAAAGCAGAGGACGATGGCCTAAGTCCTTGGGTCCCCGTCACCCATGTGGAAAACCTGGGAGGAGTTCTTGGCTTCAGCCTGGCCAAGACCGCTAGTGCTGTGACCATCCGGGGAGTGAAGCAACAGATGGACGATCTCTCCCTACTCCTCTGTCTCACTACTTTGCAAATAAATGAAATA